TTACTCACTGGGCATAGTAATAGTCATTTTTGAGAGAACATTGGCTTGCCTTTGAGGTACCTGGAGAATATGAAGGAATACGAGGTTTATAATGATGATGTTTGCACTAATAGTGAAATCATCGTAAATATACAGACTGTTTTAAACTTGACAAAATTCTCGCTTCTTCTCTCTTTTGATGTTCACCATATCCTCTGAAATAGGTTACAGTCCAAGTTTTTTCTTTAAAAATGTTATTTTTCTCCCCTTTGGTCAACAGCAACTCGTGTTCATTGTAGAAACATCAGAAAACATATGAAAGTAAAGAGGCAATAAAAATTATCAGAATCCCATCACAATTAGCCATTATTAACAGTTTTATGTTTGCCCTTCGAGTCTTTTACTTCAGTTTTGAAACTATAAAATTGAAACAAACAACTATATATATATATATGAATCATGCTGTGATACTATTTTAGAACTTGATTTTTTTTCACTTTATGAATACAGTATAGACTTCTTTCCATGCCATTAAATAGTCTTCTACAACATCCTTTTTAATGTTTGCGTAGAATTCAATTTTACCAATGTTCCACTGAGTGCATTAACATCCTATTGTTTGGCACCAGAAAGAGCGCTGCAGTGAGCATTGCTGTGACTGTGTGTGTACAGACCCATGAGCACTTTATTAGGATAATAAGTTTCTAGAAGTGGATTGCTGGCTCCAGTGGAATATACAAATCTAAGTTACAAATCACCCTCCAGTCTAGCGTTCCAGCTTCCACTCCCACTGGCAGTATGTGAGGGCCATTTCCGCATAGCCGTCCTCTACCTGGACCACCCCCACCTGGACCACCCCCATGTTCCACCTGGGAAAACTGAGGTTCAGAGCAATCAAAGATGAGGCCAAGGTCACACAGCTACAATACGCCAACACTTGGACTTAAATATAAGTGTCCAGCTTCTAAATCTGGAAATTTTCCTCCATGACAAGAGTACCAACCCTGGGTCCCTTCATATTCTCTAGACACCTCAAATGCAAGCTGACATCCTCTCATGTCCCTTAGGCCCACCTCTCAGCTCAACCACAACCGGGGTGGAGGCTCTGAGTCACATCCTGCTTTTGCACGGCACAGATGCTCTGAGCTGACCCGAGTAAGGATAAAGGCACAGAATGGTATGTTACGAGAGCCAGGAGGCTGTGCTGCCCAGGTGGGACTGGCTTGGCAGCCACTGGTGGCATTGACAGCAGATGCTGCTGGTGCCCTGCCCGAACCCCAGCTGCGGTGGGCACTTCCCAGCACAGCAGTTCCCCACCTGAGATTCGAGTCTGTTCCTCCGCCGGAGCAGGACGGCCCAGGCGTGCAGAGGAGTTAGCGTCCCGATGGGCAACCTTCACCCAATAGGGGACAGGAGCCAGTGAATAAGTGCCCAGTCTCCGTGTCCCCTGGAAGGACAATCCTTAGAAGTGTCGCGCTCCGTTTCCTAGAGGATCTCAAGCAGGACTGAGCCGCAGGTGCCTCCGGAGTTTACCTGCTCGCTCCCAGTGCTTCGTGCCTTCTCTCCCTTCCCTCTCTCACGTCCTCCAACCGAGGACTTGTTTCCTGGGCTCACTTTCCACTGAAACATCCGTCCCCAAGCCCTTGTCTTAGGGTCTTCTCTTGGGGAACCCCCAACTAAGACGGCACTTGTGTCCCCTCCTTTGTCTGCGTGCCTCGTATTTGGGTTTGCCGAAATGCTGTAACAAATAAAGCCCAACATGCTTTGCTCAAATGTAATAGAAATATTACATCTCATGCAACAGTCCAGGGCGGGACTTCCAGGGCGAGCGTGTCAGT